CAGTCCTTAGCTTAGGACCCCTTTTGTATCTTTGAAAGACCCTCTCTAGCTGTAGACCCAGGTGGCTTTATAGTTAACCTCTGTTCACTTTGTTTACACTTCCCTGGGGCATTCCCCATCTTCTGTCTCTAGCTGCTTCTACCCTGGGTGTCTCTGAACTCCTGTAAGCTAAGGGCCTGATCTTTGTGTTCCCATGTACTCTTAGCATATTTTATTTTGTATTTATTTTTATTTACACAATACCTTCATTTTATTTATTTATTTTTATATGGTGCTGAGGATCGAACCCAGGGCCGCACATGGGCGAGGAGAGCGCTCTACCACTGAGCCACAACCCCACCCCCTCTTAGCATATTTTATTTTGTATTTATTTTTATTTACACAATACCTTCATTTTATTTATTTATTTTTATATGGTGCTGAGGATCGAACCCAGGGCCGCACATGGGCGAGGAGAGCGCTCTACCACTGAGCCACAACCCCACCCCCTCTTAGCATATTTTATTTTACTTGTATTTAACTTTCCTGCTTATGTGTCTTTTTTCCCCAGTAGACTGTTTCTTCTGGCAAGGAAGATTTCTTCTTCATTTTTATTCCCCTTGGGTCCAGTACAATGTATACTAGCATATAGTGGTGTCTCAATAAATGTTTTTTGAGGAAATTCATACACATTATAGTTTTGTATGGTTCCTATGGGGCATTCAGCCACACTATAGTTGGTTAAATTTAGAAAAATAGGGCATTATGTCTAACCTACATTCTGTAAGAAATTCCAGAGTGACTTCACAATTAATTGTTATCTACTTCTTGAAGACTGTTTTTAAAAGTATCAGTTTTATTATCAGATTATTACCAACCAATATATACTGCTAATACTGTGAACTGTGGTTGTATAAGAAATTAAAAATGTCATAAGTACCTTTTCTCATACTTTTATAGTTTGCACAAATATAGAATCAAGATATCTAACAAGCGATTTAGGTTTTCCATGGTGTAGTTATATATCCCCTCTTACTAGTTGTGTTCCTCTTTGTAGATAACTTCACTTATACCAACCACCTGTTTTAAAATTGCCTTTGTTTCTTGCCTACTTTTATTACTGACTTCCTGTTATGAAAAAGGAAAAGAGTGACGTTATTACTGACCTTTATCACTACAGATGTTTAATAGGTATCTGTGTCTTATCGAGAAGCATTTTTTTAGGTTGTTCATCTGTGTTTCCAGACCTTAGAGCCCAGGGATATTCTGGGACTCTGAACATGTGCTCTACACCACACATAAAGAAGCATTTGGTGATCTATAAGATGATCTAGTAAAACACATTATAAATTTCATTTTATCAGCAAATCCTTAATTTTGTGAGAGTGAATGTATTAGTTTTCTAGGGCTGCCATAACAAAATCCACAGACTTGGTGGCCTAAAAAAACAGAAATTTATTTCCTTATGGATCTGGAGTCTCAAAGTCCAAGATGAAGGTGTCATCAGGGTTGATTTCTTTTGAAGGCCCCTCCCTGTGGCTCATTTTCCAGTGTCTTCACAGCTTTCCCCCATGCCTGTCTCCTACTCTCTTCTTCTAAAGACATGAGTCACATTGAATTAGGACCCACCAATATGACCTCATTTCACCTTACCTCTTCAAAACCTTTATCTCCAAATATAGTCATATTCAGAGATTCTAGAGGTTAGGAATTATGAATTCTGGGCAAAATTCAGTCTATAAAATGGAATAATATGGCAGCTTAAGTTCAGATATTAAAAAAAATTCTTTAGTTGCACTTTTCAATGACTATTGAATAAATATATTTTTTTTATCTTTGCCTTTTCATAGATCCAAATGCTGCCTTTCTTTATGCTCATAATTTTATCTGTGCTAGTTTCTTGAAACCATGGTCTCCCCAAAATAGTTGGTGAGGAAGAATGCTGGGCTCTATATTAGTCAGCTTTCTGTCACTGCAACAAAATACCAGAGATAACAAATCAAAAGATGAAAGTTTGGACTGGGGATATAACTCAGTGGTAGAACACTGGCTTAGCATTACAAGGCTCTGGGTTCAATCCCCAACATTGAAGGGGACAAGGTGGGGGTGGGAGGTTGGGCGGATAGATTTGCTTTGGCTCACAGTTTTCAAGATATCAGTCCATGTTGTCCTTGTTGCTTTGGCCTGTAGCAAAGCAGTCATGGTAGGGAGCAGGCCACGGAGTAAAAGTGTTTATCTCATGGCAATTAGAAAGCAAAGAGAATATGGAAGGGGCCAGGGTCCTAATATTCCCTTCAAGGGCAGGTCCTCAATGACCTAACTTCCTTCCACTTGACCCTATCTCCTAAAGGTTTCACTACCTCCCAACAGGGCTATCAGCTGGGGACCACACCTTCAACATATGAGACTTTAAGGGACATTTGCGATTCAAATACTAACAGGTTCCTCTTTTGCAATTCTGGGATAAAGTTCTTTTAGAAAACCAAAGGGAATTTCTTGGATACTTTCCTCTAAAATAATGAAAATACTATCATTAATTGAGTGATTATTTTGGGTGAATCATTGTATTATAAGTGTCTCCACAAATTTGCAGAAGAGATGCTGTTATCCTACTTGAGACATGAGGAAACTGAGTGTCAGAGAGAGAGTACCTTGCTGTGGATACTTCTTATTTTGCTTTTCTTTTTTAGGGCACCTGTTTGATGCTAAAGGAATATCAGTTTTGACATTAGAAATGTGGGAAAGAAGTGAAGTCTATAGCAAGCTCTTGGTGGCAGTCTGAGACCTAAGAGTCCCAGAGGCTATGGATCAGTAGCTCCAGTGAGTGAATTGCACATGGGTAGAGGTTTGAAGGCATAGCATCCTCTACTTCCCAAAATGGGTTAATTGGCTTTGGGTTACTTTAGCCAGGAGCTTTGTATTATGGCCCACACTGGATTGCATAGCAGTTGTCAAGGCAACTCTGATTCAGAGTCGGGCTTGAAAGAAAGGTTGAAGACAGGCAATGTGAACCTTAGGAAGGTGGATTACCAAATATACTGTATGATAGGATTATGGGAAAGTGTTACTGAAGACAGGTTGGAATGAGTTACACCAGTGATTCTCCTGGCTGACTCAGTTATCAGAACCACCTGGGGAGCTTTCAGAAGCACCATACCTGCATTTCAGCCTAGAGATCTTTATTGAGATGGGTAGGCCTTGACATCTGTCGTTTTAAACAATTACCAGAGTAAACCTGATACAAAGCCAAGGTTAAGAATTAACAACTTAGGCCAGGGGTTAGGTCTATGGCCTAAGGACCAAATCTGGCCTGCTGCCTCTTTTTGTATGACTCATGAACTAGGAATCATTTCTACATTTTGAAATGGCTGAAAAAAGTCACAAGGAGAATAATATTTTTTGACACATAAAAGTTATATGAAATTTAAATTTCAGTGTTCATAATTAAATTTTACTAGAGTGTAGACAGGCTTATTTACTTACATATTATCTGCACTCCTTTCACACCAGCAGAGCAGAGTTGAGTGGTTGTTATAAAGACCATGTGGCTCAGGAAACCTAAACTATAGAGGTTATGACCCTTAACAGAAAATGTTGCTGGTCTCTGAGTTAGGCTAAGTAGAGGCTATCCTCTTACCCTAACTTAGAGTTGGTTTAGAACTTTAAAAAGGAGCAAAAAGAGGTTCCTGGATCTTGTTTTGTGTTTCTGTAGTGCATTTTGCATTTTAATTTCCTGTGGGTTTTTTTCCTGCCTAGTTGAGGGAGTTTGATAGATGGATCAGTAGCAAGCATGTTCAGCAAAATTTTTTATGAAACAGAACTGAAATATATTTATTTCATCAAACCACACAAGTATAAAGAATATAATATTTATAGAACTAAGTGACCCAGGCCTTTTTAATAATTCACGGAGGTTCTCCTAAGTTTTTTCTAATATCCATTTCCTAGCCCTCCTCAAACCCAATCCTTTTTTTTTTCTTTTGTCTTTTCCCCATCCTTTTGTTCCACATTTAATTAAAATCAGTCCCAGCTGGGCACCTGAGAGCATAGTCTGTCTTGTGATTGATTCAAGGATGGGAAAAAGAGGACAATTTTTATAGAAATGATTGTAATATAAAAAGTTAGCAGAGCAAGATTAGGAAAATACCACTGACTGTCATGTTGGCATCAGAAAACAAGAAAAGCATTAAGGTTAGGAAAATGAAAAATGACTGAGAAAGAGAAATTCCTCATCAGGCTGTTTGTTTAGTACAGAGAAGCAGGAACCATTTGCTTCCAAACCAGCCTGCCCAGTTCAGAATGGGAGAGAGTGTAACTTTATGCTTGGGTGCACCACTTTAGTCCTTTGCTTATTTTGTTTTTACTTACATTTTTTTGTAGTAATAATGAACGGGGGTGGGGGAGTCAAGAAATTAATATATATTAGTTTTGTAAGTGTGTGATGTCATGGATATTTTTTAAAATAGTGAAAGTCTATCACTTGAACTTACAGGAAAAATATTTGATTTCCAAATAGTTTATTATCCATCATTAGACGATCATTTTTAGTGACCTTAAGAGTCTCCCTGTGACACTGCTTGATGTCCTGGGTATTATAAGTGAGACCACAATCATGTTCACATGTTCTGATTTTTATCCTGTTCTTTCTCTGTTGTCGTTGTGAAGTGGCTTCAATCCCAGGCATATTTACCCTCCAGCCTCCTGGAAGGAAGCCAGTAATGTCATTACAGATGGGAGTGTGCCCAGGCTATCTTAAAAAAACATTGTCTCTGTTACTAATTAAAGTTTTAGGAAGGGCGATGTTCGCTTTTATATTAAGCATTTGGGAAAGGCTGAGGGCAGATATATTAGAAGCAGTATTCTTGTTCCTAAATCATGGGTAAATTTAATTGTCCTATAGCTTACCTTCCCCTAGATTTGGAACCCTATCTGTTCAATGATGGAGGGTAAAAAGTAGATAATATTTGTAGGTTTTGTGTTTAGTCTTTGGGGCTTAATTAACTTTCCTTTGCTTTTTATAGGGTTCTGTACATTGGCCTGGCCTGCAATACAGCTCGCTATATTTATATTTCCTACCTGGAAAATGCCTGGACTGTCCTCCCCATGGAAGTTCTTCAAGGTAAGTTAACCGCTGTAATTAGAATTATTTCTCTACTTAACCAAGCAATGTGGCCTTCAGCATCTGACTCTACAAAGGAAGGGTGGACCTGCTGTTTTATGTGATTTTGAAGTGATTGTTAAGGAAGAGATGACGTCAAAGGGCTGGCTTTTCAGTTACCCTGAGTGCAGTGCTGCATTGAGTCAAACAGATCTGGTTTGACCCACACCCTTGTGACTAAACAAAGAAAGAAGAACTCTAGAAAATAATCCTATATATAATTGTTAGGCACAGGCATCTAGAGGTGGTTTCAAAATGTAAAAGTATTCATTTCTCAAAAATTTAGGTGTTTTTGTTTTTAAGTTAACTATGTTTATTGAAAAAATATTGTCATAATTATTTATCTCTTCCATTATTTTTATTATATCTAATGGTTTATGTCTAAAGCTTTATAGTCACATTATTGTTTTTCCATGAACCTCCTAAATCTTTGCTCAGATATCCTGACCTGAGTTCCTCCCTGGCTTCACTACACTGTTTCCTATCAAGATAGAACTGAAAAGATTTCTAGGAGGCTCATTGACATGTTCTGAAAACCACTGTTAGTACCTTGGCTGTCCTATTTATTGATTGGCATTGTGATTAAAATACAGGCTCAAGACAAGATCATTTGGAGTTGAGTCTGCTGTGACAGCCCAGGTTCCTAAATCAGTAATTGGACTAGACAGCATGGGGTTATATATAATTTCGTTAGCTTTATTAAAGATTTCCATTATCTTTTTTCCTAACTGGAAGGATGTAAATGCATTTTAATATAATTAATTTCTTTTCATGATTTTGATCTTTTAAGATGAAAGATTTACAACCGTATGTCTAAATAGAATGTATAAAATGTGCTGGGCATGGTGGTGCCTACCTGTAATCCCAGCTACTCAGGAGGCAGAGGCAGGAGATCTCAAGTTCCAAGCCAGCCTCAGCAACTTAGTGAGGCCCTAAGCAACTCAGTGAGACCCTGTCTCTAAATAAAAACATTAAATGGCTGGGGATGTGACTCAGTGGTTAAGAGCTCCTGGATTCAATCCCTGGTACCAAAAAAAAAAAAAAAAATGTAAGCTCACTCATTCATCAGATTACACCATAGCAATGAGAAAAGAACATCCCAATTTAAATGAGATATAATTTATATTTATATTAAAATTATAAAATTTAAAAATATATATATTTTAAGGATAGGGAATGTAGCTCAGTGGTATAGTGCTTGCCTAGCAAGCATGAGGACCTGGGTACAATCCCCAGTACTGTACCACAAAAAAACCCCCAAAAAACCAAAAACTTTAAAGGTGCTTTTCACTCAGGAAATTATACTTCTATGGTATAATTGGTAAAAGGAGATTTATATATAAATATATAGAAAATTGAGCATATAAGGAATTATCATATATAATCACTAGAATTCTAGAAGGGTCTTGAGGCATACTTGTATTATATCATTGAAGAATAACAAAGAGCTAAACATGAGCTACAAGAAAGAATCTTGCAATAACAAGCTATATGCAACCCAGTTCTTAGTATCTCACTTCTATTTCCTGTTCTCTCCTTGTCTGGCTTCATTGCTTTGTTTATTGGTATGTCACAGTGTACAGACTCTATAAAAAGATCTGTGTGCCTATGAAAATATATTTTGCAATAACTATGTATATACTTTCTTTCTCCTTTTAATTTAACATGAATTAGATAGAAAAGTTTACATAAGATACTGAAGAGAAAAGAGCATTCATGAAATGGTTTAAGGAGCAACGGAAGAATTTTATAAGAAGGAAAAACAAATGCTATTTTGAACTTAAAACCTCTTTTCCTGTTAATTTATCAGATGTATTAAATGGCTACTAGGAACCAGGCAGCATGTGGGGTACTAGGAATGTAATAAAAAAAAAAAAAATTAACTCATGCCCCAAGGTCTCACCATCTGTTCTGGAAGCCAGATGTGTAAACATATAATTACTACACAATGTGTTAGATGGAATCATAGAAAAATGTGCTAGGTAACAGACAAGGAGCTTGGTGGAGGAAATAATTGGCTTTGTGAAGTCAAGAGTGGGTGGATGAGGATTTTATTGAAAAATTCCCTAAGGAAATCACATACAAGCTGGGGATTGAAGAGCTAGTAGGAATCCACCCGGTAGCCTAAACAAAGCCAGCATTCTGGGATAGGGAAGAGTGCTGTATGCCAAAACACAGAAGTAGAAAGCACAGCAGGACCTCAGGAACACAGGTGGTGTGCCACAGCTAGGGCTCGATGGAGTTATCATCCCAAACTGCAGACCTGGGCTGTGTTTTTACAATGCCTGTATATACCTCGGTGTATCATCCCAGGATTTGGGGGACTGGCCATGTTCTGAATCTAAACAGGAATTCTGCTTCGTGTCACCAGCTATAGTTTATACTTACATATTTCATTTTATTCTCTCTTGTTCCAGGAGAAACTTAGTTACTGATTGAAGCAAGAGAAAAAAGGAGATCTGTAAATGCATAGTTTCCTCCTCCAACAGAGGGCTCTGTGACCAGTTTCCACAGAGCTCATTGTTTCTAAAACTGGAGATCATTTCATTCCTTGGCAGACTGAATACTGAGTATTTGGCTGTACAACAAAACCAAAATTCCTTCCTTTATTTGACCCATGCCCACCCCACAGAAAGCAGTGGATCATCCCTGTGGAGTCAGTCTTGCATCACAGGATACAGTTCGGACTGAAAAGATTTGTTTGAGTGGTCTTGATTATGTTGCCTTTACATTGTTTGTCCAAATGACATTAAAGTCCCCAAAACAACATGGAAACTAATACTGCCTAATGCGAAGCTTAAGTGGAGAAGACAAAAGCTGTACTGTGTTCTGTATCACCATCTATTCTTCTTTGGAGTTGCATGAAACTCATGGTAGAAAAATCCCTTGTTTTCCTTGATTTCTTGAAGTTCTTAATCATCCTGTCAACATTCTCTCATTGGGCTATATTAACATTAATTAGCATTTGGGATGCAGAAAAAGGGAAATTTCTCCTCTTTAGACCCATAGGGAAGAGGCTGCGCAGATCTATTTGGGGATCAAGGTATGACCATTATGGAAATGTGAGGTCATTTCTTTCTCTAATCTTTCTCACATTCAGTGGCCAGTGTTATTTTGCAGCCTTATCCTTTTAGCAATTCAGCTAACATGTTATTCAGTAGGCAACTAGTGGCATAAGGCATATTTCCTGCCCATAAGGAGTCCATATTTTTGTTTTTTAAGTTGGATCTAAGTACCATCCCAGAGGTGGCAGGATTAGTTTTTTATTTCCTCAAGATCTTATGTTAAAAATTCATGGAAATTTTACCTTTACTTTTGCATAAGAAATGTTTGAACATTTATGGTTATGATCAGGAATATAAACATTTGATAAAAATAAAGCTCAAATTTGTTATACTTCTTTCCTATGTGGGTACTGATTTTATAGTAAATCTTTGCAAAACTCAGAAAAGAATGTGATCAAAATTATTCTGGTTATTAAAATATATTTAAGGAGAGTAAGTCCACCCCAGGGAGCTGCTATAACTAAAAGGTTACTTTGAATTACTTGAATTAATGACTTTAGTGTTGACAGGTAGAAATGAAATCCAGGTCATCTCCTTTCTGTAGGATATTTTGCCAGTGGGGGTTGGGTTACATTTTTTATGAAAGATGGTTTTTTAATGTCACCAGTAGGAGGGCCTGAGCTGACATTTATGAAGCTTTATTCTGTTTATATAGCATGCCTCTTCCACCAAGTAAGACCCATGTTTTCCTTTCTTTTAGGTTCTTGAAGAACACAGAAAAATTATAAGAGGATTACTATGTAGTCCTTATCTGACAGTAGGAATTCTAGACATGATTCCAATCTGTTATTATCAGGTTGAAATTTTTCTGTGTGGCTTAACCCTTAAAACACAGTAGTTTGTTTGGACTGGGGATATGGCTCAAGTGGTAGCGCGCTGGCCTGGCATGCATGCGGCCCGGGTTCGATCCTCAGCACCACATACAAACAAAGATGTTGTGTCTGCCGATAACTAAAAAATAAATATTAAAAAAAATTCTCTCTCTCTCTCTTTAAAAAAAAACAGTAGTTTGCTACATGAATACCTAAGATAGACAAATATTCTAAGTTAAGCATTTCAATTGATAATTGGCACACAAAAGTCATTGGTATTACTGTTAAAATTAATTTTTAATCAGAATAGTTTTACAAATTTTAATGATTTTTTTTTGGTATCAAGGAGTGAATGCAGCAGTGCTTAACCACTGAGCCATCCCCTAGCCCCTATATATAATAAAAAATATAATTTTTATGACATTATATATATATGTACATATATATGGATATATTTTTAATTTTGAGAGAGCATCTTGCTAAGTTACTCAGGGCCCTGCTAAGTTGCTTAGGCTGGCTTTGAACTTGAGATCCTCCTGCCTCAGCCTCCTGAGCCACTTGGATTACAGGCATGTGCCACCACACTCAGCTAATAATATTATTATTTGTTGCCCTTGTTTTATAGTTGATAAAACTAAAACAGTTACAAAAACATTTTCTTCAAAAATAAATTATTTTTTCCATTTAGTATTCATTTGATGAAATGTCTTCTGGTCCAATCATCCTTTTCTGGCATCTGTGTGCCCCACTGAGCTCTCTTTTTCTGAATTGTTCTCACATTTATGGACTATGTTGTGTAAGTTAGCACTTAATAGCACTCAAGTCATTTTGCAAATACTAGTTTTGTTGCCTTGTTTAACCCCTTAAATACAAAGTCCACGCCTTACACTTTATTTCTCCTAAGAGTTATGCTTATACAAAGATATGTTATAACTGCTGTATCTGGTATTGTACTTGATATTTTCCGGTTTTTAACCCTTGTGAATAATGAAGTTCTATCTGAAAATTTATAAATATCTGAAGAGATTTTGAAAACAAAACTTAAATCCTATATTTTCAATATCATATTTCTTTCTAGAATAAC